GTCTATAAATTTGAATTACATTTAAAAATAAATAAATAAATGAGAATAATTTAATCTGCAATTGGTTCGTATTTATTCATCTACCACTCATTTATAAGCACTCCCAAACATGCCCCGCTCCAAATTAATCATATAATTTACAATAACATATTTGGAGAATCAATAATTCAATTTTATAAACTCAAGATGTATGTTTTTTTATTTTTATAATTAATTAAAAATTAATACAGTCTCTGCCAATTACATGGGCAGCGGGCAAGTTGTATTCAAATTTAATATTTTTATTTATTTTTATATCATTAAAGTCTGCGTATTGAGCAGACGTGATTAATTTTTCTACCTAATGATTAGCAATAAATTTCAACAAGTTGAAGCAATTATAATTTTCAACCATACTCCTCAAAGAGGGTGGGGGGACCAACTCAAAAACAGGAGACTGGCACCTCAACCCCTTATTTTTGGGTCGGTCTGTTTCGCGCGTTTTACTCGCTAACAATTAAAAAGGGATCAGACGATTGTGTAAGGGACAAACCTCTTGGAACAAAGTCCCAAAAATGAGTGTTTATTGAATATGAAGATTACAGTTTGGACGCGAACAAGATGTCTCCAAAGGGCGCAAGCACACAAGTATAAGGGAATTGAAATAATTAAAGTTAATCTAAGAAAAAGTAAATTACATATTCTCTGTTTGAGAGTGAATTTTGTCGGGGCTCTCTTCGTTGTTTTCCTCTTCTTTTATATGGTTTGGGCGGTTTTAATCGTTTAGAAACTGTTTGAAACCACCCATTTTCTTTATTATGGCCAACATGTCCAAAACTGTCATTTATAACTGTCACCACACGACTCCATACCATTGAGATTTTTAGATCGTGGATGTGGCATGAATTGCTTGAAACCGCTGCCTTGGATAATGACAAGTCGTTGTCTTTACTGGGACTTTGGGCGACTTAATCGTTTGGGCGATGATGAACTCGTAGCTCTTGGGCGACTACAGGGTATTCTTATTCGCTCAGCCTCTGGGCGTTCTGCAAACTTGGGCAATAGCGTTACTTTGCTTGTGGGCTTCCATATCATTTGTCTACACTCTTATCTGGGCTTTCGCACTGGACTTTCAATTGAGCTTTTACCCTGATCTCTCTAAACGGGCTTCTTCTTTTGGGCCATTTCCTTTCTTGAACCGTTTGAATTGGGCTGCACATTTTGTGTATCAACACTTACAGTACTTGTTTTTCTTGCTCACAATTGTAACGATCAGTATACTTGCTATCAAAATTGTATTATGGAAATCATCCACTTTTATCCATTATTTTCTGAAGCAATGACACAAAAATGGTGGTTGGAGGCTGGTCAATTCATCCAAGTTTAATAGATTTGGTCTCTTTGATTTCATCTTGAATTATTGAGTAGAATCTACACGTTGGGCATTATTGGGGAACATGTTCATGGAAATCACTTTCTGGGGTCCATATACTCTTAAAAAAGACATGGAATAATGCTTTCATTGAATTCAACAAGCTCTTGTTAGATTCGCCCATTGCCTCATCCATTCTCGCACTCAAAATTTTCTTTAAAAACTTGATGAGCCAAAACGAGAGTTTATAATTTCATCGGCAGAATTAGAAGTAAATTTTATGGTAAGCTAGAATCTGGAGTTCGGCTCGATCATTTATAAAGTAAAAATAAATTTCTTTTCGACCCAAAATTTACCCTTGAGACCTTATAAAGGTCTACGAGTGTCATTGTCCATGTATTTGTTCCGTGTAAATCCAAATAGTCAATTCAATATTTTTAATTAGGCGACAGTGAAATTTATACCCGCATCTTTTATATTGTGTCGAAGTACTTTATCTAAGAGTCGAATTGTAAAAGGGGAAAAGTCATATTAAAGTGGAGTATCAAAAATGATTATGGCGAACATGCCATGAGCCTTTAGATACTGGTCTTTTCTGTTGATACTCTCCTTTTAGCTTTTTGTGATATTGTCTATGCTAGTTTTGTTTTTGTAATTCAATGCAGATTTGATCCTTTCTACATCAAATTGCTCTTTTTACTAGGCCACGCTTCAGCACAACATTTTTCGGGATAATTTTGAGTCCTAATTGTACGATTTAAAATTCAACTATGCTATAAGATGTTACACGAGCATTTTACGATTTGGTAGATATTTTTTTTTTTTTGCTAGTCTTTGTCTCAACAGACAAATAACTAATCCACAAAACATATAATGTTCGGATCCACATTCAGTGTTATAGACAAAAGAGGTTTAACACCTTCTTCGATTCAATTGACCACTTCGTGCTCCACTTTCTTCATAGTATGTGGATTAGTAGGGGACGAGACAGATAGAGAAAACAGAAGCAGGAAACTAAGATCGGAAACTGCAAGCTTCTCCTTCTATGCAAGAACAACATGCTTCAAAGTTTCAATCATAACGTAACAAATTAATGACATTACTGTGGAAATAATCACAAGAATCTCCTCAGAACAAAATTTCTTATCTTCTTCGATTTTTTTAGGGTTTCTTTCGGGGTGGGGTGGGGTGGGGTGGGGTGGAAGGAAGAGGGAGGGCACCCATTTGGAGGC